CAACCTTAATGACTCTATGATTCTATGACAAAGTAAACAAATTTCCTTGGAATTCATGATGGACCTCAAAGAACCTGTGATGCTTCATGACAGTACTCTCTGCAGTCTTGTCTCAAGTATATTATTGGAATTTTCTTCAGCAACATTAATCAAGAGCATAGTGTGACAGGTTTAAAATAGGCTGGTTTTAACAAAAAGTAATGCCACAGCAGGCAATTTTAGCTTCTTTGTTCCCCAGTAGCCTTTAAGTCCCCTGCATCCTGAAAGGCTATACTGAATATAGTTATTTAAACATTAAATTTAGGACACACATTTACTGATGAATTACAATTTACATACTCATCAGGAATAAAGTCAGGTGAAGGTATTTCAAGGTACATACCATGTATTAAGAAAATATATTCACAGTTCTTCCTGGATAAAACTTAATCTACCAAGCAAGTCATTTAATTTTTTAAATAAACAAGGCCCTCAATTTCTTCTCCTATTAAATGCAAACGTTTCTAATGGGTTGAGTTGAATGAATCTGCATTTTGGTCACAAGGCTAATTTATAAAATTTCTACAGCTTGAAAAAAAACATTAACATGTAAAATGTGGTGTGCCAAACAAAAAATAAAGCTATGCCAAAGAAAGACTATATTTGCTGACCGTTTTCTTTGTATCCCATCCCTAGGATGACCTCTGGTGCTCTGTAGTAACGAGTCACTACATAAGGCGTCATCATAAAACTAGTTCCTGCAGTTCTGGCCAGTCCAAAGTCAAGAATCTTCAAAGTGCAGTCTGACTTTACTACTATATTACTGGGCTTTAAATCCTTCAAAAAGAAACATCATATATGACTGCTAAGACAAGCACAAAGTACTCTGTGGTTCACATTTTTAAAAGATAATAGTGCTAACATCAAACCCCACATACACAACTAGGTTACTGCTATAGCTGCAGTTTCTTTTTCCTTTGCATTAATTCATGTGCATTCAGCAGGCTACAGAATTAATTCCCTTCTCCTGCTTCTAGGTTTATATGGCAATTAAAGGACCAAAACACAACCAGCATTACAAGATATTTTAGCAATGTCTGAAACAAACTGAGGTTAGTAAGAAACGTTAGCTTTGAGGAAAGGTCTAGAAACTGCTCACTGCAACAAGTTATTATGATGCAGAACACAAGTAACATGACAATTGCTGAAACCATTTGATGCAATAATCATCTTGATACAAGAATTATTAAAATTATAACATGAATGTAAAAAATAGAAGATTTCTTTGCTAGTTGAGGCTGTGTTAGCTCTTTTGAACCAATGCAGATATTTCTCTGAACAGGAAGGAAATCCCCATGCTTACACACATTTAGTTTCCCATTTAGGCTTTGGTTATATTAATTTTGGTGACCAAACCCAAAAGTGCACCATTGAAGAACTGCCAGAAATTATCATTAAATAGGAGTGGAAAAGCTCCAGATCATCTTAGTTAGAAACTTGATAACTGTATTGTCTTCACTTGAACCCTACAACCACATTGACAACAGTGGCTTTACAACATCTACTTATACACTCCACAGACATACTTGGTCTTATCTCAGGAGGATCTTGCACACATCTGTATGTCACAAAGCAAATATTAAAAACAAAGTAACCTCAGCATAACTTTGCCATCATAAAATCATTCGTAGCACACAGGAGGACATAGATAAGGCTTGGATCCTTTCTGCCTACTCTCTACTAAAATTAATGAGAAAAGAACCCAAGATTTGGCAGAGGACTCCAGCATTTGAGCTGCAGGCATTTGATAAGTAGCCCTATCTTCCACTGTTTCATAAAGACTTAAAAGTGGCTATCTGCAAGACATGTAGTTTTCATTTGTACTTGTATGGCTTTCAGCAAACTCCTCAGAAAGCTAAGAAAGCTGCATTAAAGACAGAAGAAACCACAAAAAAAGAGTTTCAGAACAATGGAATTTTAATGGGTAAAAATACTGTGTACTTAACATTCGCACATACCCTTACAAATCACACACATAAAGACTGCAGACAATTTTGGCTTAAAAGATTCTCAAACGCAACAAATTAATTCAAGTATTATAAGGCATTCCAGCTATTTAATATGCACAGTCCATATTCTCCTACAATCCTGTTTACTATCAGCTTTATTTTTGGGCACTTCTATTATTTGGAGGATGTTCATTGCAGAATCCCACGCGCATGCTCATAGTATTTAACTACGCTCATCCTCCCCAAAGCTGCAGGATTAACACTGAAAAGGTGAAGAGATCTTCCCCTTGCAAGAGAAAAATCACTATGTGAACAAAAAGCTAAAGCTTACAGAGCACCATCCATCCGTAACTTCTGAACATCATTTAGTTGTCATGAAGCCCAGGAACATGTTGTAATTTGGAATACAGAACTGTCCTTCAAAATGATGGAGGCGAGAGTTGTCTTACATCACATCCAAATTAATGCAGCACCAATACCTCTTACGTTTTAAATAAATAAGGACTTAAAAACTCCTATAAGGACGATCAAGTTAGTCAGGCAGTATAAATATATCCAGAACCTATAGCAGAACACATCCTGCCTACCCTTAAAAATGTAAAATGTCAGTGCCTAAAAATCAGATTATTCATGGTCGTCTTCCTGCTAACCAAACAGGGAGAGAGGGGCATCTCTGGAGGGTAATTCATGGCTTTTATGGGCTTTTCTCTTTCTAAAGCAAGATTTGTGTGAAGGGCTTCCATAATTAGGCACCTTTGTTTGAGTGTTCAAAATCAGGCAGAATGTAAAGTTTCAGAGCCTTCATCCAAGACTAATGAAACACACTTTGTGTCCTTCAGCAAGGCAGTGAGGCACAACTGCAATGCTCATCATTCACCCTCCTCAGACTGCGAAATATAAATGAACATGTACTTCTACACTTGCTGGAACTCTGTCTCTGCAAAGTGTTTTGAACATAGTAATGTTCATTTACTAACACCTGTTAAAGCCAGTGTAAAGCCATAGTCAAATCTTTACCAAGATCAAATCCTGATCCACTGATGTGGCAGCTAAGTATGCACCCTACAAATTCTAGGTGAAATTCTCTGAAACTCTGTGTTGATCTCTGCCTTGCTTGCTCCATGACTCTAGTTCACTATGAAAAAATGGCTTATTTCTACAGCAGGTAGTATCCAGTGCTACAGGCATTTATACAGATTGCTGTAATTTCAGTCAGTCAGCAAACTTTGAAAAAGTTACTGACATGCTGAGATTACTGCAGCTGTGTTTAGAAGCTGAAGAACCTAGTTAAAAACCATATGAAACAACCAACACCAAAAAAACCTAGAGCTTTAGAGGACACTAAAGAAGCACACTAGATTCATAGCCAGAATGCTCCACAGGCAGCCACAGTAGTGCAGACTATGTTTAAGGAGTAATTAGTTCCAACAAAGTAATCAGCTTTAGACATTAAAGACAATGGCACTGAAAGCCCAGCAGAGTGGTAATAAAGAGTTACTAGCCACAGGATCCATATGAAGCATGTGGCTTTCCAAGCACTCCCTCCTTGTCTTCTGAGGTTTTGTTCAACTTGTTACACAGAGAAATAGGATTTTGATGCTTTACACGTTGAAGCATAAAGCCATAATCCACACAGCAGGTAAGCAATGCTAATGTTTTGCCTGAACATGCTCAATCTTTTAACAAAGTCTGAGAAGAAGCTGTCAGCTGAAAATCTACCATGAAGACATGCAAGTGAAAACTATCTGCCCATGTCCTTCAAAAGCATTCATGCATACACGTGTTACTATTCACACAGCAATTGTATCTATGGTTTCTTCGGAATAGGTTATCCCTGTACTTCATATTACTGCACAATAAGAAGCATTTCAAAGACTTCACCTGTATTTTCAGAGGCAGGAATTCTATCCTCAAAGCTGTCTTTACTCCTGCCCGACAACTGAGTAGCTACTTACTTCTATAAATGTATGAATGTTTACATTTATCCATGACTTCTACAGGCTCAATGGTTTGATGTCCACTTTACAGGAGTACAAACCACCCTTGAAGCAAGTGAAGTTTTAGAAGCTCCCTCCTGCCTGTACTACAATCCACAGAAAGAGACACTCTTACATTACTTTCTGCACGTCCATACAATACACAGTTTTCAAAAAAAAAAAAAAAAAAAAAGACCTAGGAATTAAAGCATTAAACTTGGATACCTGAACTAGACAAGCATCCTAACATAGCAATTCCTGTGGTAGCACCCAGAACTGACATTTGTGATTTGCTTTGCTGTGTGCATCATCCATGAGGAAGACCATGCAGCAATGACCAAAGGTATCACACATGAATAAGTTTAGTTATATCTACTGCATCATTTCAGCAATGAAAACTTCTAAAATTCTCTAAAAACATAATAATGAAAAATGTAGCACTGTAGAAATACAAGCTTACAATTTCCCAAAATAGCACAGATTTGAAAAGTTATAACCAGACAACCTCAAGCAATCTTTACACTACATACAAATATATGTGAGATGTTAAACTTGAACAGGCAACCTTAAATTCAGAATTTCTTGTCTGGATTGCAACACACATATGCCATTTAAAAATCAGTAGTCATTTTTGCTTGTGGGCAGTCTGGGTGAATGCTTTGTGACACACAGATGTATGAAAGTTCCACTTACAGGTCTTTATATTCATCTGTTTATCTGGAGACTTCAGATATTTATTCATTAGACTGCTAGTAAAAGAGCAGAAATAAAATGGGCAGTTCTTTCAAAAGATGAGATTTCAGGTTTGGTTACCAAAAACAATAAAGGCAGAGACACGTTCAGATATTATTATCTGCCATGACTACTAAAACTGAATATTATCTAGAATTAGAGGATGTAATGTAAAGCACTGCAAAAAATCTTTATTTGCTCTGTGCAGATTATTATCAAAACATTCAAATGGTTCATTCCAGAATTACAGTGGAAAAAGGTAATGTTTTCCTTTCAGCTTTCTCTCTCTGCCTATAGGACAGGCTATGGATCACCCTTTGTCCTTCTATTTCTGATTTTTTTTCTGTCTTTTAAACACTCAATGCAAAATATATGCAGTTCACTTACCCTATGTATAATTCCAGCTGAATGAAGATGTTTGATACCACACAGCATTTGATAAAGGAGATAAGACATTCGTTCATGGTCTAGCTCCATCTGAATTACTTGGCAGAGATTTGCATCCATGAGCTCCATCACTATGTAGCTTATGAAGAAAAAAAATAATAATCAGATAATACTGTCACTTTATTATATTCTTTCCCTTGCATGAATATTTTAAAAATCAATTCTCAGCTTCAGTTCAAATCAAACTTACACGTCTTGAAATTCTTCCAGGGACTTTTGTGGTGTGAACACATTCAGTAGGCCAATTATCTGTAGGAAGGGGGAGAGGAAATATAATTGCACCATAGCAACAGCGAAGTTGCAAAGTCAACATTTCAAAATTGATACCCAGTATTCTGATGCAAACCTCCTGGCACACATTGAAGCCCAAGATGCTCAGTGGTTCAACCAGGCCTAACACGCTATAATACATGCTACTGATTTTAGGAGTATTTTTCCTCCACAAATCACATAATCTAAAGACACGCTGTGAAGCAACAACTCTACCCAAAGAGAAAAACAGATCCTTGAAGCTGCTTTAGGACATTTCCCAGTTGCTAAGAATGGATGGGATGTGCAGAAACAGGTCAGGCTACTACTCATCAAGTCAGGCAGCTTGCAATAGTTATCACACAAATCATGCTACTATGTAAAACTTCCTTCTGAGAATCCACATATAAACTGTCTCTGCCTTTGAAAAAATACAAAATTTTCCTGAGTGCATGAAGGACAGAGTAAATCTTCCATGACTACTTCCTCCCCTAGCAGCCAGGAGGAATTACATGTTGCTGAAGCCCCGGGGATTAAGAGGGAAGGTGAGGAAGATGGCACACAGCTGTCTCTGAAGGAAGAAAATGGGCAACACCAGGCCTTCTATAGTTCAACTCTGACAAATTTATCACTTTTCTCTCTCAGTTTCTGTGATGTGGTCTACTCTACAGCTTCTTAAGCATCAGACAGTTCCTGTTGTGACAACACAGGATTCCTAACTCATTCATGCACCAAGGAAAAAAAAAATATTATTATTATAGCCTTTTTTCTCCTGTTTGTCTATCAGCAGCAACAGAAACACGGATGCACTTACCACTCATCGTATTCTTACTTGACAGCTGCTTGTAAAGTGTACCATGTAAAACTGACTTGCATCCTGAGTTTGAAGGGGGCATTTAAAAATTGGACGGGTATTAAAACTAGTAAATAATAGCTCTTCTGAAACATCCTTCTGTACTTATCACGGACATACAACCATACAATGAAAATCTCTATAATCTACAGAGGATGCCATCCTCTGAAGTCACTTTTAAGACTTTTACAAAAGAGTAACCTAGTTAATTCTTTTAACATTTAAAGCAGGACACCGCACTCACATTTTTGTGATTAACGCACTTCATAAGAACAAGCTCTCTGTAGGCTCTTTTAGCATGGGTTTGGTTCTGAAATGGTCGGCTTAACTTCTTGATTGCAACATTTCGTTCAAGGATGGCATCATAAGCTGCACTGTAATAAAAAAATAACATTATTACACCTCAGCATCAAGGTCCTCTAAGCTGTTGCAGTTGCCATGTTTATAAGGCACCTTGTATCGTGTCTGCAGGTAAACCAGATTTCCAGTATTATTCAGCTTTAGGGAGTGTAACAGCAAAGTGGTCTTGTATGTTGAGAGATTCAAAATTTAGAAATGTTTCCCAGCTTCATAGTATTAACACATGACAATCTTCACAAGATAATGCAGAATCTCTGCTTCCTAAAATACCTTACTAAAGATATTGAGTTCTTGCCACTCATTGGCACTCAAGAACAGCCCGTCTAAAAGAGATCCAAAGCACTTCAAACATAAAAAGCACATCAATTTTATGTAAAATCTTCACACCGAAAGGAAGCGAGAACGAGAAAAGAAAAGTAGGTTATATAAAGGTCCCATGCTTTCACTTACAGAGTTGCTTAATATCCTCATGACAATAAGAGCATCAATGTCAAGATAAAACAAAAAAAAAAAAAAGTGAGGAAAGCTTTAATATTTTGATGTCAGTGGCTTTTACTTGGTAAAAAGAAAGAATAACATTTTGTTTGCAGACTAATGCCAAGATTGTCATATGATTCAGCAGCACAGGCTGTTTAACTGATGAACACTGTTACTGTGGACAACTCCCATGCATATCACATTCCCATGACAAGGAGTCACAGATTTTGTTTCCTGTAAGGGGTAATACAACAGCAGACTACCTCCGGAAATATTTATCAGTTACTAAAAAAGCCTCAGCAGGGAAAATACTGATTTCTTGTCTCTTATCATGAATGGTACTCAAACCTAATGAAAAACATCTGTCAGTAAATGGTCAGCATCTAACTAGCTACTTTAAAAAGTATGTTGTCTGTATGTAAGCTTGAATGACTTTTTTGTTTGGTTGGGTTTTTTACATCATCAAAACCTCCAGACTTTATTGAAGAATGAAAAAATGGGAACAACATATACTGGTAATTCTCCACCATCTGGAATTTCCCCCACCTGCCCCCAAGATAAAGAATACCTTATGAAAGAGCGACAAAGAGGTGTCAAGGAAAGATTGCAAACATGGGACTCCTGTACCAGTATTTAAGCTTCTGCATCCCCAGTACATAATGGCAGCCTTAGAATCTGTCTTCTATTTAACATTACTCTAAATGCACTCCAGTCCTTCTCAAGGTACTCGGAGCAGTTTAACTAGAAAGGCTTCAGTTACCATTAGCAGAAATTACAGAATGACACTAAAACAATTACATGGTCAGCTTTTGGATCTCAGCTCAGGGAGGGGCAGTAAATTTGCAAAACCGGCAGTAACGTTATGACTGGGAATCAGAAGGACAGTGATAATATCTAAAGCTTCTGCAGGCATTTCTGTAGTAACTGAACAGACACTAGTCAAACAACTGTCTACATCCTCATTACATTAACACACATGCAAACAAAATTCAGATCAGTTTTCTGCTGCTGCCACTTACAGACCAAATAATCTTAACATCAGAAGTTACCATTTCAAAAACAATTATTTCTAGAGTACCAGCCTTCAAGCTTTCATTTTCACTAAGCAGACTGTTTTATTATTAACCCAGCTAAAATACAAATATGAATTAAAAACACACCCACACCATGCATTCTGTAAACATTAAGACAAGATCAAGGTAGTAAAGAGGTTCCTGTGAAAAGTGTTCGAGAAGACTATACTTTTCCCTGCCTTTTTCTTCCTTTTGTATTTTTATATCCCTGGTTAGCACCTTAGGGGTTGGAAAACCTGCAAGTTCCTCTGCTACCTACCTCCCTCTCTTGAACATTCAAAAAACTCGCAAGAAACCAACATTTATCTTTGGAGTAACGACACTGGACAGGAAACAGTGCCTACAAGCAGCTAGTTGTCACCAATCTTAAATCAACCGGACACTTTTCCATCCACACAGCAGAGCTCTTATTCAAAGAATAATTTGTCATATTTTCCCACATTTTACAATGACAGTCAGCATCACAAATGCTCACTAACTGGTATCAAGGACTACTTGGATTATGAAACTAAGTGAAACAGGCCCCTAACAAACCATTTCAAGAAGTCAAAGCACTTACGAGAAGGAAATGTTATACAGAGTATTTCTGGCTTTTGTTTCACTTAGGATTAGGATTAGTTTCTTTATCCAGGTTTTTTTTTCCCCCATTAATTTATGAGACTCGGCACAGCTGGCTGAATTTGCACAGAAGGGCATCAGTTCAGAAGCAGGAAAGGACACAGGTCAAAAAGCAACAGCAATAGCCTTTGCTGAGTAAAAACGTTCAATAATTACTATTTTCATTTTGCACGCAAAAGGTAGTTCTCCACACTCCTACTTGGTAACATACAACAGTTAAAGGACTCAGAAAATTCTAGTAAGGCAACCTAAAAGTACATTTAAATTTTAAAGAAACCTTACCATACTATCCCTTGTGCTCCTGATCCTATTGGTTTTAAGTTTTGATATCGTTTCAAAACAGTGAAAGTAGAGTCACCAATTTCAACACTGTAGAAATTGTTGTCACGCTTGCTTCTGCTCATGACGGCAACTTAGATTGCTTCATCCAAATTTTTCTTTGGCCTGTAAAGAAATAAAATTTGAAAAACTAAGATTTTACAACTCTGTGTAATCTGACAAAAAGGCTGAATTCTTTATAGTGCTCTTCTCATCTAAGTCCCATATGTAAATGTATGTTATTTTTAATGTCTGCAGGAATGAGATGGCATGTGTCTTGAAATGTTTTATTTTCAGGAATGTTCCTATGACAGGATTCTAGAAGGGCAAAACTAACAGAAAAACAGAACTGAATGGATGGTGGCAAAAATCTTAGATGGCAACAACATAAGATCAAAATGAATCTACATTTCATCCACAAAGCTCCAGAAGTGCTGTCATCCCTTCACACACACACACAAGCAGCAACGGAGCAGGGCTTGGACCAAGCGCCCTCCAGAGGTCCCTTCCAACCTAAACTGTTGCATGACTCTCTAAATACAAGAGTGATAAAACATCAACAAGTCTTACAGACACTGCCATCAACAAAATACTCTTGGTCACAACTGCCAGGAATACCTGTCACTGATGTGAAAACACATACAGTCAATCTAGGCCAGAAAAGGAAAACTGGCTTTGCAGAGATCTCGCATACCGACTGCTATGAAAAAGAGTTATAACCAGGGAAAAGGAGAAAAAGAGTAAGAAAAAGGACATATATTCCACCAAAACTCCTTCATATATATATATTTTTTTTAAAAAGGCAACATGTCAATGCACATGTCCACAGGAGGAAAAAAAAAAACCTGCACGGTGGCTTTTAGTGCATTGTTTCCTGTTTCTTTGATGGTAACTGTGCACTTCTAATTTTCTGTTTACATGGGTTATAGGTGTAGCTGTAATAGATGTCTAGTAGTGCTGATTCCTGTTTGACTAGAAGAAATGTCTTCATTTCCTCAAGAGCAACAGCATGCTGTGTTCCTTTGTTAGTAACTTAAGGAACATTTTCCCATATTGTTATTCAACAGCCCCAAACAGATTCTTAGCTTCAGTATGCTATTATACTACACATTTGTTAAATTTTAAACAAGCTTCGAAAATGCAGACAGTCCAAATGTGGCCTCCACAAATAATCACAAATGTTGCATAAGCAGAATTCATGTGAACTTAACAATTTCCACTTTCAGATACCTAACCTGCATTCATTTCGGCTACGTAGGTGCAATGAAAATCACTCTGAAGTTCAAAAAAAGGTCTATTTGGTATGTTATAAATAAAAAATGCACTACCCTAATAGGCAGCTATCTCAAAAGACATGTCGATTAAACAAGCCCCTTTTCCAAAATACTGTCCAAAAGAAGTGTCTCTGTCACAAAGACTTAACTAAATACCAAAAGCAGCCTGTATCAGCATATTTGCAGTATTGTTAAAGGCTTCCTTCTCCAGTTGAAGCATAATTGGACAAGAAAAACTGTATAAAAGCTGGAGATCCCTCTTACCACTCAATCTTTGGACTCCGCCTGTTCTCAACACTTTTTCACAGATGTACCCACATGAAGTTTTGGAATAAATGTGCCCAACAAATACATAATGGAAAAAAAAAAAAAACAAAACCAAAACCTGAATAAGGAGAAATAAAATTTGTTGTGGGAGGTATTAAATCAGCAAATAAATTTTTGAAAATCAGAAAACAAATAATGAACACAATCACTAACAGAATCTTACATCTGTTCAGCATCAGCCGAGAAAAAAATTATTGTATTTATCCACTAAAACTGTACTAAGATATAGCGACACTGAACAATGCAGGATTAGCCGGAACAGATTAGTAGATAGAGCTCTGCTGTTTGGTATCAGCATCAAGATAATGAAAGTTTAATACTTCACTTTGGATAATTCTTTGGAAAGAGATGCAGGAAAGCCTACCTCTCCATCCAAGGTTTTCAGAAAAATGTTGACACCGTCCCATTTAAAGGTCAATATTTTGAACAGCCAAAGCAAAGTGTTTATTTGAATTTTCTTTCAATTTGGTAAACTTCAAAAGATCAAAGGGTGAAACAAAGCAAGTATAGTTTAAGAAAAGGATCTTGAGAGACAGTATTACTGTAGAAAAGAATTTTTTCGTATTAACATCTTTTACATGTTTTTATTACCAGGCAAATTTTATTGCCTTAAAGCTTTGTCATTTGCTACATTTTCAATACTGCAAAATGTGCTTGTGTGGGAAAATTGTATTTACCAACCATTTTGTAATTCATAATAGTATTTTAGCGTAAAGCAGCATACAAAGCAAATCCTTGATTATTTTTACTAAGGTAAAAAAAAAAGAATTCTGGGTGTATTCTGTCTGAATATATTAGCTTTGCAGTCACCCAGGTACTGCCTGTAACCAATTAGTCTAACCACTTCTGTTACAAAGATAAGTGAAAAAAAATCCCTCATTTGTACACTAAGTCTAAGCTTCATAACTGAAAAGCCCATATTCTGGACTATTACAGGAGCTACGCTGATCCAAAAAAAAATCGAGTTTGTGACTAGGTTTGGTACGTAAATTCTCTCTTTCACTTTAGCCACTGACTGTATCCTGGACAGAGAGCACCAGGAAGCATTACACTCTCGTGGTCTGTCCTCCTGCACTCCGCAGGTGGACAACAAAGCAAAGCTGCCAGGGAAGATGGGGAATCTATCTCCTGGCCAGAGAAAGAAAAAACTCAAATGACAGCTTTGCCTGTACATGACCAGTAGTGTCAAAGTATTTGGCTGATAGGCAGCTTCAGTCAGGACCACACCAAGCAGGAGGCCAGCCCGGCACCAGCTCACCATCTCACTCATCCAAGGCTGAGCCTCCCCTTCTTCAACAATCTCTGGTTTTGCCACTTCCACTCTCCGCCGTGCATGAGGAATGGAAAGCTGACCACTCTCCAAGAGGTGTCTCCTCAACCTGCTTTTCCATACCCATGGAAAAAAACAGCCTTATCTAAAGAAGATATGTCTAACTAGGCTTTTTCAAACCTCAGAGTAAGTACGAAATGGTTTTGCTCCCCAAGCTTGAAACCACTTAGAGCCAAAGCTTCTTTTCATTTGACTGCCTCAACAGAAAAAGGCAACACCTACTTCAACAATCAAACAATATTTAAATTCAAACATTTTATATCTATTTAAGTATCTACTTAAATAAAATTAAAAGATAAACCACTCCAATACAGAGTCCTAAAGCAAAATATTGTAGACACACTGCATCACAACTCAGGACTTTTTCAAGAGTTACAGTTAGATAATTAAAAAAAAAAACCCACCTGCAAAACTTTCTAGTCCCAAGAATCATTACATTCCTATCTTAATTCCAGACACATTACCAACTCCTGCTGTCAGTGGTTTAATTATAATTGGTTACTTAAAAAAGAATGAACTAAGTGTTTGAGGGTCGTGATTCAGTGACAGTCAGTTATAATTAAATGTGCCTCTACCCTGTTGAAAAATTCACCAATGTCAGTCATGACACTTAGAATTCAAAATTTAAAAACCCAAAAAATCAAACAAAACCCCCAATTAGTAAAGAATGAAGAAATAAAGGGGAAAACCATAACATTCTATAAAAGCACTATCAGACTATGGTTTAAAAAGCTTGCCCTGCTACAGGGCTCTTTAAAATGTTAAAAAGCACACCATACATTGCTTCTGAATAATACTCAGGAACCTACATGGCACTATACCTTTCTATTGACAGTTGAAAAACCCAGTCTTCTAATTGCTGGTGTATTTGACTCTTGCAAACTAAATTACAAGCAAGTTTCAGTCAATGTTTCCCCCTCAGTCATAAAACTGGTTAAGTAACTCTTTTTTATAACAGATATTCTTAAAATAGCTGTGGGTGTTCTGCAAGAGATCTGACCTACCTGGACCATGCCTCAAACACCCCACTGCTGCCTTGACACCCACATCACTAGCCTTGCAAGACTATGAAGACGGACAGTTTCTAAGACCCTATCTGACAATATTTCCAAGTTCTAAGAAACAAGTAAAGAGCAAGCCTGGGGAGAGGGGTTTTGCAGTGCAAAGACTGCTTTTGCAGGAACTATTTACAAGAAGAAGCAAGTAAAAATAAACAACCCTGCTCTTATATACAGCAAAACCAAACTTCTGCACCTTCAGTAAGGTGCTACTTCAGGGAAGGGACTGCCTTCTGAAAAAAAAAGCTTAAAGAAGTCCCAAGAAACTTCAACTGAGGGTGTAATGCACAAGTAATAGCAGTCAAAACACAGAAGAGAAACAAATATTCTGATACATCTGGAAGCTTTTGTACCTCAACTTATATTTGTGTCCAGTTCTGGGCCCCTCAGTTCAAGAGGGACAGAGAACTGCTGGAGAGAGTCCAGCGCAGAGCCACAAAGATGATGAAGGGAACGGAGCATCTCCCTGATGAGGAAAGGCTGAGGGTGTTGGGTCGCTTTAGCTTGGAAAAGAGGAGGCTGAGGGGTGACCTAATCAATGTTTATAAATATGTAAAGGGTGAGTGTCAGGAGGATGGAGCCAGGCTCTTCTCTGTGACATCCAGTGACAGGAGAATGGGCAATGGGTTCAAGCTGGAACATAGGAGGTTCCACTTGAATATGAGAAAAAAACTTCTTCACGGTGAGGGTGACAGAGCACTGGAACAGGCTGCCCAGAGAAGTTGTGGAGTCTCCTTCTCTGGAGACATTCAAAGCCCACCTGGATGCGTTCCTGTGTGATCTGATCTAGGTGTTCCTGCTCCAGCAGGGGGATTGGACTAGATGATCTTTCGAGGTGCCTTCCAATCTCTAACATTCTGTGATTCTGTGATATTTGCACACAGCAGCCCCAGAGCATCACTCCAAATTTAATCTTTCATCTTTTAAAGACTTATATATGTAGTGTCTTACATCCCAATGTGCACAAAAAAAAAAAAAAAAAAAAAAAAAAAAAAGTCAACTTTGCATTAGGATATTCTTGTTTACCATTACTCAGAGTATTGACAGTCAGCACAGTTCAAAACATGAGAACAAAGATACCAAACAGGTTAGCTGAATACATTAGTCTGTTGCCCAACTGA